TACATCATTGATGTATAACTTCAAGAAGGCGTCCTATGTTGGCTTATATAATGCTTTGAGTTATATTGACTGGTCCTTTTTACGTAAAATTACTGATGTTAATGAACTATGCGATACATTTTATGTTAAAATTTTTTCAATATTTGATATTTATGTTCCTAAATATACCAACACCTGCAAATTCAGGTATCCTCCTTGGTATACTGGAGAAATTATAAGTAACATAAATTTGAAGGATTATTACTACAGAAAATATAAGAGAACACGCAATGTTCATTACAATGAATTTTCTAGATTGCGCAGAATCATAAAGGGGCGAGTTAGAGTTGCTTACAGTGAGTACTTGTCGTCGGTTGAGGACAGTATAATCAACGACCCGAAGAAGTTCTGGTCATACATTCGGAATAAGAGAGACTGTAGCAGAATACCAGGCCAAGTCCAGTTCAACGGCAACGTATTCAGTACTCCACAAGGTGTTATTGATGCATTTGCCGACTATTTTAAGAGTGTGTATGTTACTCCTCGAAATATTCCCTCTTCTTTAGTTAGTGTCACTTCAACATCATGTATTTATCTAGAGGAATTAACGGAAGCTGATGTACTGAAGTCTCTCTCTAAGCTTCAAAATAAACTTACGTCTGGTAGTGATCAAATACCTAGTTTTATTATTAAAGATTGTGCTCATGTTTTCGTCAAGCCGATGCTGATAATTTTCAATGCTATATTAAAGAGTGGAATTTTTCCTGATGTTTGGAAGATAGCTAAGGTGTGTCCGGTCCTGAAAGATGGTGATAAATCTGATGTACTCAACTATAGAGCTATAAGCATTTTGAACAACTTTGCAAAGGCTTTTGAAATGGCCATTTACTCTTTTATCTTCGTGAACGTTAAAAGCCTAATTACTCCATCACAACATGGTTTCATCAAAGGTAGATCCACTACGTCAAATTTAATGACAATTACGCAGTATATAGCAGAATCGTTAGACAAGAAACAACAAGTCGATGTTATTTACATGGATTTCAGCAAGGCTTTCGATAAATTAAACCATCATCTTCTTGTGGATAGCCTTCATTATTTCGGCCTTAGTGACTCGTTAGTCGGTCTTTTAAGCTCATATCTTTCTAATAGGACGCAATATGTTTACTATAATGGTTATTCTTCAGCAAATTATACTGTTCCCTCTGGAGTACCGCAAGGTTCAAACCTAGGTCCCTTGCTGTTTTTATTCTTCATAAATAGCCTAGTCGCTTCACTAAAGTGTGAATGTCTACTATTTGCTGATGATCTGAAAATCTACACCAAAATTACAAATTTGGAGAGCTGTATTTCCCTTCAGGACGATCTGCATAGCATCAGACAGTGGTGCGACAATAATATTCTCTTCTTAAATATTTCCAAATGTAAAGTATGTTCATATTGTCGTAAAATGAACCCGATTATGTTTGATTACTCCATAAATAATGCGGTTTTGGAGAGAACAACAGAGACTAAAGATCTTGGTGTAACATTTTCCTGTAGATTGGACTTTTCTGTCCATATAGCACGCGTCACTTCCGAAGCGACACGGATTCTGGGTTTCATAATGCGCAACTGCCGATCTTTTTCCAACGAAGCGGCACTAAAAGCTCTTTTTATTTCACTGGTGCGACCAAAACTTGAGTATGCCTGTTTGATATGGAACCCTTTCTATGCGTATTATACGTAGTCATGCCATAAGTTCTGTCCCTCGTTTTCAAACAAGTGTAGACCTGTTAATACTTGTCCGATTGTTTACATTGTGGTGTCAGTTGATTAAGCGCTTTTCGGGTAATTACATATACCTCAGTTTGTATTGATCTCTCGAAGCATAACGATGGAGTGGGGCAAGGCAGAGAACCGTATTGCAGTGATAGCTTTACATAAGTGTAATCACAGTGCTAGTCAGATTTTTGAACTCTTACGCGGCCTTCAAATATCGCGTAAATTTGTGTCTAGGACCATTCAGCGGTACAATGAGACGTCCTCTGTTGATGACAGGCCAAGAAGCGGAAGACCTCGTCAAGTAAGGACTCCAGCAGCCATCAAAGCCGTAAAAGCCAGGATTCAAAGGAATCCACTCCGGAAGCAGAAGATCCTATCCAGGGAAATGAAGATTCCTGTCCGGACGATGTCGCGCATCATTAAATAAGACCTAGGGCTAGGGGCTTACCGGAGACGTACGGGCCAGCGACTTACGGCCACCTTGCGACACATCAGGGCGACAAGATCCAAGAAGCTCTTGGAGAGGTACGCAGCTGGGGGATTCCGAAAGATTTTGTTCACGGATGAGAAAATCTTCACCATAGAAGAAAAATTCAACCGACAAAATGACAAAGTGTATGCAAGGAGTTCACAGGAAGCTTCGGAGATCATTCCGAGAGTTGAGAGAGGCCACCACCCTGCGTCAGTCATGGTTTGGTGGGGGGTGTCCTACGAAGGGGTCACTCAGCTCCATTTCTGTAAACAGGGCGTGAAAACAAAAGCGGCAAACTATCAGAGCGACATACTGGATCCTATCGTCAAGCCTTTAAGTGGTACATTGTTTGCCAACCAACACTGGGTCTACCAGCAGGATTCCGCCCCCGCTCACAAGGCTAAGAGTACGCAGCGCTGGCTGGAAAGCAATGTGCCAGAGTTCATTGCTGCGGAAGATTGGCCCTCAGGGAGTCCGGACCTCAATCCTTTAGACTACAAGTTGTGGGACCTGCTAGAGCAGTTGGCCTGCTCCAAAGCCCACCGTAATATCGAGTCCCTGAAAGCGGATTTGATCCGATCAGCGGCAGCTATTCCTTTGGAAGCTGTGCGTGCAGTGATAGATGAGTGGCCCGCGAGATTGAAGCAGTGTGTGAAGGCCAAGGGGGGACATTTTGAATAAAACTGTTTGATTATGAATTCTAAAAATGTTGTCGAATAAATAATATCTTTCATATAAATATATCTTATCTTGTTTCATTTTTATCATGAGATTATCATGGGACAGAACTTATGGCACGACTACGTATAAGCATCTTAGAAAATGTGCAGAGGAAATTTCTTAAATTCTGTGTTTATAAAATCGATGGCACATATCCAGAAAGGGGGGTCTCTCAATTTGTTCTGCTGCGTCGTTTTGAACTAGAGTCTCTACAGTTAAGACGTTCCACTGCTGGCCTATCATTCCTTCATAAGCTTTTGCACGACAGAGTGGATGCACCAGAACTTCTCCAGAGGTTAAATTTCTATATTCCTCGGTTAAATACGAGAAGAACTCTAACTTTCTACTGCAGTACCTCCCGTACAAATGTATTATTTTATTCTCCGCTACATTCTATATGCAACAATTATAATTCCATAGCAGACAGTTCTGACATTTATTTTGATTGTATCAGTAAGATCGTGTCGAATTTCAGGTACTATTATAATAGCTAGTTCTATTTTTTTAAATTAGTTTTAGGTATACATTACATGTATGAATTATAAGTAAAGTTACAATGATATTGTCCTTTAATTGGAATAGTTCTGTTGGGCAATAATGTATAAATAAATAAATAAATAAATAAATAAAGGATATTATAGTAATCATTATAAAGCAGCTGCAGGATATTGGTTTGAATGTTATTGCTACTGTATGTGATCAGGGTACTACAAATATAACTGCAATAGCCCAGCTGACACAGGCTCACACTGATGATAAACCAAGCCCATTTCATTTCGTTGTTAATAGTCATAAGATATATACAATTTTTGATGTACCTCACTTACTTAAAAATAGCAGGAATGCCTTATTAACATCTCATATCCAATATGAGCAAAACAAGATAGCCAAATTTTGCTACATTTATGAGGCATTTCTGGATGATAGTACAAAACGAACATATAGATGTTTGAAAAATTTAACTGAGTCATTTCAATTTTAAAGATTCGTTTATAAAAATGAAAGTAAATGTTACTGCCAGACAGCTCAGTCACACTATGGCAGCTGCAATTGCGACATTCTACACATCTGGCCATATAACTGAATCAGAGTCGCCACAGACTGCTGAATTTGCACACTTAGTAGATACTCTTTTCGATTAACTTAATTGCTCACAATTTAATTGAGCAGATGGAAAACCATATAGGTGTGCCATTTCAGTAAAGTCACCTCAGTTAGAATTTTGGTCCAAAATGTTACAGTCTCTTTCTAACTGGAACATTTTTGATAAGGACACTGGGTTTGACAAATCAAACTATTTCAAATTTGTTGAAGGCTGGCAAATAACAATTAGATCTGTTATGCGGCTATGGAGGGATCTTAAGGAGAAGGGCTTGAAATATCTTTGTTCGAGAAATTTAATTCAAGTTTCCCTGGAAAATTTATTTGGTCAAGTAAGACAGCATGGTATCTGCAATACAAATCCCACTTGTCATCTGTTTGTTGCTGCCTTAAAAACAGTACTTACAAATAATTTCAGCACATCTTTTTCTAAATTGTGAAATCGATTTTTGTGATACTTTGGTCGATTTCAGTGACTTTTTGGATAAATATGACCAAAGTAATGATACAGCGCTTGATTTAGACCCTGAGATTCTAAGTGACTCTGACATGGAAATAATGTACACTACTGTTGAATGGAATCCTTCAAATGGTTATGTGGCTGGGTACATTTTGGACAGACAAAATTGATAGTAATTGTGAATCAGGCGTATTTTTTAATTCACCGGTTGAGCCACCGGTGCAACCAATTATCCAATCTTACTTCCTTTAATTTCCGTCTCAGCGACCTGTTGTACACCAAAATTGTCTATAAACTATATAAACATAAACTATATAAACAAGACTATATAAACATAGTTTATAGACAATTTTGGTGTACAACAGGTCGCTGAGACGGAAATTAAAGGAAGTAAGATTGGATAATTGGTTGCACCGGTGGCTCAACCGGTGAATTAAAAAATACGCCTATCCTGTGCAAGGTTATTTTCTTATGTTGTCACTGAAAAACATCTATTTGTGACATTTAAAGAGCATGATGAGGAAAAGCGATTGAAGTATGCAAGTGAAGATCTAATTAAACTGATTGGTCTTCTGGATGAAAAGCTGTATGCATTTTTAGAGCAGCATGGTACAGACTAGAAGTTAAATTTAAACGGGAGTATTCCTGCATCCTTCAAAATAATAGCTTTTGTCAGCAGCATGATCTGGCAAAAGGTATAATTGAAAAAACTGCTCGGTTGGGAATTTACAAATACGTAAAGAGAAATTCTTTGAAAGGAGTGGTGAGACTACTAAAGGTCATAATATATCAACAAATAAGAAATTCAAGACAGCTAAAGTCAGGTTATGTTTTTTTATGTAGTCCAGCACTCTTCATTCATTATATATTTTTTTTCATTGTTGCCACATCCTTGGGAGGGAGCAGTTGGACGGAGAATAATTATTTATTTTGTTACTTCCTGTAATGTTAAAGCCATCAGGAGCTTTTGGTTTTAAGTATGAGGAATGTCTTGATTATTTTTAACTTTGATTCCTTCTTTGAAGAAAATTTTCCTCATTTTTACACCACTATAACCGTGGGTGCAAATTTATATATAATATAAATTATATTTTTATTTCATTTATTTATTTAACTACAGAGATTTATTTTTTGTTGTTTTAGTATGAATGTTTATGTTTCAGTGATAAATATACCACATGATCGATTAACAATAGGTAGTGCTTGCATCATCTTGCTAATCACTTCCTTTGATTACCGAGGGTTCCTTTTTATCGTTTTTTATCCTACTAATGTATGATTTGTATTTTTTTTGAAACATCACTTATTCACTTAATAACATAGAGAATGCTCCGGATGTCTAAAAATACCTTTATATATTGTCAGTGAACTGTGCTGATAAATTATTACTTATTATTATTCATATATTTAACTATTTAATAAATATTTTATTAATTACGCATTTATTTTTTATTCCATCATCAAGCCCATTTGGACTTACGGGATCGAACTCTGGGGCTGCGCTAGCAAGTCAAACCTTTCAATCATTCAACGAGCTCAATCAAAAATCCTTAGAAGCATTGCAGATGCGCCTTGGTATGTCTCAAATGAAACGCTCCATAGGGATCTGAAAATCCCATTCATCAGGGAAGTCATCATGGAAAGAAGTTGCAAACACCATGCTAGGCTTAGCGACCATCCAAACCCACTGCTGCCATCGCTATTAGATCCCACTGAGACCAGGAGACTGAAAAGGAAATTGCCACTAGACTTGCAAGACTGAGGTGACATCGTTGGATGTCTGCTTCATCCCGTCATGAGGTACAACTACTTAAAAATTGTACCATCCAGCAAATTAGCTTATAGAATGTACATACACTCTGATCGCTAATAAAGAAGAGAAAAAAAAAATTTTTTATTATCCCAAAATTGGTTACCAGCAAAACTGCTGAATCACGTATTTCCTTTATTGAGGATATTTTATGTATCTATGCTCATAAAATATTTCTTCAATATGGGAAATATCACTATCAGCAGATTTTGAATTGTAAACAAACTGAATCCTCTGCACATTCCTAGCATCCCTAATCTCCCGACGCATTCTTTGAATTCGTTCGATAGTTCCTCCAGATCTCCAAGCAAGTAGGCGGCGCAACCATCTGACAAAACGTCAACGGTGTTGCCATTGTTGAACGTGCAGCTCCCACTTCTCCAGTCTTATGTGTTTTGTGGATTATATCCTGTAGCTTTGTGCTGTAGCTTGTTTTTGTTTATGTTTATATTTAGCATTCTGTTTTGCTTGTGAAGCGTGTGTCAGCGTGTGTCTTGGACCAGGGGAAAATTGTTGAAAAGGGAATTATGAACAGTAAAACCCATGATCTTTCTGCATTGACAAAATCTAATAAAAATGAAGACTTCAAAAGTGAAAACGAAAAAAGTATTGTTGCTGTATCCAGGTCCAGGTAAACTTCTTAGGAGGTTGATTACAACACCGAGTAACTTATTCTACCTGCGCCAGTGATCAGTATGGGCCGTAGCCGTATCGTCCTACAATTGTAGGACGCCTTTATGGCCTTGATTGTCAAACTTCTTTCTCTCCTTCAAAAATTTTTAGATTGCACCTGTTCTGTCACAGTCAGCGCTCTCCTATTGTGAAGATATGTTTTCTTTTTAAATTTGTAGGAAATTTCAGGCTGATAAAACATGATACAAATTAAAAACATGCACAATTTGATGCAAATAGATATTTGTGACATAACCTCAAAATAGTTCATAAGTAGAAAACTATGACAATCGAGGAGGCCATAAAGGCGTCCTACAATTGTAGGAACGACTGACGATACGGGCCTATTATAGTACTTGTTTCCGCAGGAGTTTTAGCACATAAATCAAAAAACTTGTTTGGTTAAGTGAGAACGCTATTTCGCTATTTGATGATTTTTTTTTCGTTTTTTTTTTGCTGAATTTCCTTATATTACGCGTAAATATCGTTATGAGTTTTTGGTTTATTGAGATAAAAACAAAATAAAGGTGGTTGCGTTCTGTAAAGTATGCTTAATCAGAGCAAATGGGTAGTTCATACAAATATCCTCAATAAAATGAATTACGACCTGCTAAATTCGGAAACTGTGTGGAGTGAATAAAAAATCAGAAGTTCAAAATTAGATTACAAGAAAGCTATATCTTTTTTGAAACTTAGCTTTATATATAGAAGTTCTATGCTTCGTTATAGAGGCCAACAAATAGGTAGTTCATGCAAATATCCTCAAAAAAATGAATTATGACCTGCTAAAGTTGGAAACTGTTGGAGTGAATAAAAAATCAGAAGTTCAGAATTAGATTACAAAGAAGCTATATCTTTTTTGAAACTTAGCTTTATTTATAGAAGTTCTATGGTTCATTATAGAGGCCAACAAAAAAATATATATTTTTGAAAAAGTTTTTTACTTTGCTTTTCATTATATAGTATAAAGTCCTTATAAGATATATGGTGGAATTAATGAAATGCTATATTACATTGAATTAGCTTAGTCTGTATTCACAGTAGGGTACTTAAAACAGTGATATAATACTGATTTTACTTGTCAGCTGGAACTGATTTATACTTTCTTTCTCTGTTTTCATTGAAGCTCCTTGTGTAGCTGTTTCTTTGATGAACTTTTCTGTGATGTGACCAACAGTAGTTGCTGGTATTCCGGTGGCCCTGGTTGTGTTTAAGTTTAATGTCCTGGTGAAATCGCTCACATTGCTCTTCACTAATATCTCCTAAATTGTTCGGGAAGTAATCAAGGTGACTGTTCAAGAAGTCAACTTTCAGGCTCATCAAACATCCTAAACTTTTGAACTTCTTTAACATGTTAGCTACAATAGTAACATATTCTAGGTCTTTTTCATTTCCCAAGAACTTTGTAACAACTCATTTGAAACATACCCATGCTTCTTTCTCATTGAAGGTCATTGTGTATTCAAAAACATCAAACATCATTTTTCTAATGTCAGGTTCAACAAAGGCGCCTTCTTCCAGTTTTGCTTTTGACGTGTGGAAACTTTTGGCAGAGATAAATATGGTCCATCTTTAGACAGATCCTTTATAAACTGTTTCATTAGTCATAACTTTATATGTAGATGTGGTCGGAGAACGTTTTTTGGATCTACAAGATTTTTGCGTAGAATGTTCTTCTCACCTCTCCCTCAGTGGCCATTTTATTCTGCACCAATGTTTCTCCCTAGCCCTACTGTCCCATTCACATAAGAAGCATGGAAATTTGGTGGCATAATTATATATTACTTTTAAGTCACCACATATCATCCAACCATGAACAGAATAGCGTATTTTATTCGATACTATTTCTAGGTTTTCATAACTTTCTTCCATATGTTCAGAATGACCAACAGGAATAGATGCGTACAAGTTACTATTGTGCAATAAAACAGCCGTTAGACTAGTTTTCAATTATTCAATAAACAGCTTCCAGTCTTCCTTTTTTTATTCAATACCAAACTCATTTATCAGACCGGCATTGTCTAAGCAATACACCAAATCACCTTCTTGTTCAAAAAATTTGGAAAATTGCTGGTCTGTCATCCTGTACAGATAAATGCTGGTTACAGCCACCAACAAGTTTTTTTCCTTCAGTCTAAAGCCAAGCAGTTCAGCTTTTTCTTTTGTTAAGCCCAGACCCCTAACCAAGTCGTTAAGCTCAATCTGAGTAAACAATTTAGGCTCTACATTTTCTGTAATGCATTGGAATTCTTCATCATCTTGTTCACCTAACTCTGGTGGTTCAGGGCCCGGCAAATCTACATCATGCCCTACTAGACGGATGGCGGACGGAAGGTTAGGGAAGCTTATTACCTTTTTGTTTTTTGAGTTATGATCTGTAATATAAATGCTGCAAAAGTAGCAATCATCGGAATGATTTTTTGGCTCCCTCCATATCATAGGGACAGCAAACTTGAAGGTTTTGTTTCCATTTTTTTATCATTTTCTTAGATCTTCAATACATACGTAACATACCTTATGCGGCGCCCAAAATTTTTCCTGATCACCAAGTTTGGTTCCAAAGTATGCCAAATAAACCTTTTTCATGAAGACCAACATCATGCAATCTGCATCCATTTAGACAAAGTTTTCAGTTATCTTAACTATATAACATCTTTCCAGCTCTTAAAAAAATCTCTTAGTTTAATAAATTTAACTATAAAATATTAAAAAGTGAAGAAATGGTGGGTGATATGGCTTTTTAAGTATCATATTTAGATTCAGTACCAAAAACATAGAAACAAGGCGTTTTTAGTAAAACAAAATTTCATCCTTGGCCTGTGATACCTTTCCGACAATGTAACAGTTAGTTAGGTCTATCAACCACATTTATTTTATATAATCAAACAAACAAGTTATAATGATATGTCTGAAGCAAAAATCAACAAATAGCATCTGGAATTACTAAAAAAAATTGTCAGTTCATGTCCCAAATATCCTGTATAAAATCTATGTATAAACTTGATGGTATTTGGTACATTAAATCCAAGTAGGCTCTGTGGATCATTCAAATTTCTTTTACTGTAGTATAAAAAGAGAGTCCAATGAAATTGAATGGCTTGATGAATGTAATGTGAATAGCAAGACATGCCTGAAGGTAGAAGTTGATGAGCTGGAAAAAACAAAAATGGAAACTGAAGACAATGAAGAGCCAATCATTCAGAATAAGAGTGACGATTGTATGGATGTAGTATCGACAACAATTTTTGAGAGGTAATTTTATTTACTAATAACCAGTATGCAGAGCATCAGCTTTGAGAAAAGTTGGGTATTGCTACTTTTTTCACTGTTAACACCAAAAATTGACAATACCTGGATTCTTTTGAGCTGGTCAAGTGATCAAACTGATGACAAAAATAAGAGGATGTATTCTATAAATTCCAAACTACTTGTTTTGATTATCTTATTAAGGCATGTACTTATAAGAGCCTGCGACTTCGTATGCTTAAAATGGTTGATAAAACTAAAATTTTAAATCAACACATTAGTTTTAACCCAATTTTATATCGTAAAAATACATCTCTGTTAAGTCTCTAGTTAGATATATATAATGATTTCATTTCAAGTGTACTGTATCATTGGAATATTACTTAATTTTGGATACAATTTTCAAACAAACTCGCAAATACCCTTTAACCCCATAATACGGTCCCATCATAAAATCCATTCTTAGCTGGCGTGTCTTTTCATAAACTGCCTTCCTGCCAAAATCATCAAAGATGCGTCCCAGCAACCAGTACATTAATACAAAATTGAAGATTCAGAAAATGTTAGGTTGAAATTCAAGGTAATAACGATTATTGACGCAAAATTCAGTACTCCATCCATCAAAATTTTGAGGGAGTGTGCTGCCAAGCATTGATGTATTTTCAGATAAGATTCCTAATACCTGAGTAACTAACTGTCACAGCCCATTATGTTATATCAATCTGTTTTTCTTTTAAACACCAATCCAAATATTGAACAAAAAATGTAACAGTCCAAATTGAAATTTTGATGTGTGGATCAATAATTATAGGGTGCCCTATGAATACACCCCTTGTACTGCATATAATAATTGATAAACAGTTTTCTTCAATTAGCTTAGGAGCAATATATTCTCCTTGCATTGTTGATCAGCCTGTATATCTACCGGAAGGAAATTAAGATTTCTGGTATTTGAAAATATTTCAGGATCCTAATAGGTTATGATGAAAAATTAGGAGGTTATTAGCATCATATGTTATGAAACGGCAAACTTTGCAAAATATCGAGACTCTGTTAACAGGAAAGTATTTCTTAAAATTTATCATTAGAATTCTGATATTCTTATTATTTTATAGGTGTATAATTGGACAGTCAAAACTTGCATTTCAATCAGCAACAATGATTATGAGTGCCAGAAAAAAATATCATACTTTTGCTTATTTTTTCAACCAGCTTTGTTTTTCACTGTGGATTTATTATACCAGCTTTATACAAAACTATAAAACAATGCATCATTGATTGAAGCCAAATACAAAAGTCCTTTTCAGTCTTGCTCTGAAATCATTATGTTTCAAGATATATAACATATTAAATTTTATTTTTCAATCTGTTTCTGGCACTTGCCAGGCTGGCGCATAGAAAACATTCTTTTATGTAACTCCTAAGAGAAAACATTTACCTATGGCCTTTTCACCCATAATCTGCCTTGAGTAATTGACCTCAAGGCTATATTGAGAAATAGATTTTAATAGCTAAGTCGATCGGTAAATAATTGTCTTTTAAAATTGCATCATTCTAACTAAATATTAGTTACAAGTGAGATCAGCCATTTCTCGCTATGTAGCTGTCCTTAGTAAATACACGGTGATTCACAAGTCGTGACAAAAAATGAAACATCATATATAGGACCGCATTTTAAGGGGGGTCTTCTATGTAACATTTTTTCCTCGAGGGCTTAAAGTTTTAAAACAAAAAACATTTTTTTAATATCTCCAAAACCGTCAACTGGAATGAACTAAAATTTGCTATGTGGATTTACCTAAGTATTGTCCACATTCAAAAGTCTTTACTTAAAATTAACTTAAACCAGTGACGGAGATACAGGGGATTAGTAGCATTATTTTTCCAGATAAAAATAGTACGCCACTGTTTTTTTTTTCGAAACGCGCAAGTTTTCGAATTTTACCTTCAATTTGCTACAAATAATTACTCTTGTGTTTTTTCCTAGAGTGCAGTTTCCGTAAAAATAAAAATTAAACAAATTAGATCTTTCATGAAGAGCCGAATTTAACAATGATGAATACGCCGATATTATTTTTGTGTACGGGTTCTGTAATGGAAATGCTTTAGCAGCTTCTCGGGAGAATCAACGTAGATTTCCTAACAGAAGCTAACCTATCCGAAAGGTTTTTACGCTTTCATTTCGAAGACTTCGGCAATATGGAATTGCCACACTTCCCCGAGTTAGAGGCCATGGTGTCCGGCATAGTGTTTAAGAGGAACTGGAGGTAATTAATTTGGCGTGGGATGATCCTATAGTAGTACCAGTACTAGGCGGATTGCAGCCGAGTTACCATGTTCCCAAATTCTTGCGTGGAAAATTTAAATCTTTACCATCGGCAAAATGTGCAATGTCTGCAACCCGGCGACGAAGTGCAACGGCGAAATTTTTGTGACTAGTTACTGCAAATGCATAATCAAAATACAAATTTAATTGATTTGGTTCTGTGGTCAGATGCATCGCTTTTTACGAGTAGTGGAACCTTTAATTCTCATGATGAACATATTTGGTAGTTAGAAAATCCCCGTTCTATAAGAATCCACTCGTTTCAACACATATTTTCTAGAAATGTCTGGTGCGGCATTTTCAATGGCCAACTGTTTATGCGCGTATTGCCACAAAATTTGGATGCAAACTCATACTAAACTTTTCTAGAGAATTACATAGTAAATATGTTAGTTGATGTTCCGTTAGCAACGAGGGTACGTACATTGACCTGCGAGGTCTTCTGATTTGAACCCTCTGGATTTCTTTTTGTGGGGCGTTTTTAAACAACTAGTGTATGCTGAACAAATTAATACTGTTGATCAGTTACAAGAAAGAATATATAATGCGTTTCATCAATTTCAAGCCACAACAAATTTTGGCAAAAACGTTTTTCTTTATTAAAAATATACCGCACTTGTATCCGTCAGAACATTTATTGAAATAAAGCTTTTATTATCTAATTTGTTTTTTTTTTATTTTTACGAAAACAATACACTAGGAAAAAACACAAGAATTTATTCTTCTGTGGGTAAATTCAGTTTATTTACGTTAGTTTTAGTTATATTTGTATGTTACGTGAATAAACTTATTATTATTATTAATTATTAATTATTTGTAGCAAATTGAAGGTAAAATTCGAAAAATTGCGCGTTTCGAAAAAAAAACTATTTTTATTGGGAAAAATAATGCCACTAATCCCCTGTATCTCCGCCACCGGTGCACGTTAATTTTAAGTAAGAACTTTTGAATGTGGACAATACTTAGGAAAACCCACATACCAAATTTTAGTTCATTCCAGTTGACTGTTTTGAAGAAGTTAAAAAAATTGTTCATTTTTAAACTTCAACTTCTTTTTAATGAAGCGCTCGAGGAAAAAATGGTGGCGCAAACGATATTAGGGGCTGGTAATTTTTCACCATTGTGTTCTATCTGGTCAATGCCAGCTTGAAAAAAATAACCGTGGAAAATGCTCAGCAATCCTCGGAAAGCCAATATTTTATTATATGAGAACAAAAGAAGTACGTGTCATTTATAATTAACTAGTGTAATAATATCTATTAAAGATTAAAATATAAAAAACTTCTTTGTTCTGTTAACCGAAAAAAAAAACATTCTGAGGGACCCCGAGACATATCCTAGTCCATTCCACGCAAAACAATGTCTTTGATGCCGAAAATGAACATGAGACCGAAAAATTCACATTATCGTATGGACACTAGACGAGATAAAGAAGGATCTATATAGACCATCTATAGATCGTGTCTTGAGACCGTCTCCAGACTGCCTATAGACAAATTGCGTAACGGGGTCTACTAGTGTGTACTAAGCTTAAGGATTAAGACTCTGACCTACCCATTAAACAAATCAAGTAATTGGTACAAATACTGACACAATCAAGCACTTATATTGTGATAAAAATATCAATAGGTATAGTCAAATATTTTTTTGAAATTCAATATATGTAGATGTTACAGTTATTCTTCAGACTTTCGTTGTCGAACTTAGATTTATGGCATAGTTGTTGTTTCCTCAGTTTTCGAATCGGTGTTGATCGCATGTAAAAATGTTGTAAATCTTTGGAAAAAACTATATCTGTTAGATCGTAATTATTTTGATAATGTTTGTTCGAAACAAGTACAGGAATACAGGGATGTACATATTCCCGTGTAGTGCAGAAGCTTTGTGATTTAAACGAATTCAATATAGCAACATAAATAGAAACATACGCGGATCATCGATCGTCGCATTTTCTGGAAAGGCTACAGGCGCACCGCTAAACAAATTTCATAAATGTCTATTTCCAATTTAGGCGGTCATCTAACATATACTCTAATCATATTTGCAAATTTTCCCGAAATAATTGTAAAGTCCGGTTTTATTGATGCAAGTTGTTCAAGGGGATATTTTAAACATGAACGCACAAAATGGGTGCACCAATTTTTGTGGGAAAACTTTTTATATGATCCGACTAATAGTAAAAATGTTATGGCCGAAAAACGAGGCAAAACGCAGGTTTTGGCACTTGTTGGTAATGCGACGATAATTTCACGCAAGTACTTGAAATTCCTCAAATCCGTAGAATTCATACTTTTAAATAACCACAACAAAATTGGAGTAGATTGGTCAAGTAGTTTTTGAGAATTTCTAATTGTTTATCCCAAAACACCTATTTTCCGGCCATCCCTACTAGTTTATTGAGCAATATACAGGGTTAGTTCAAAGGTCATTTTATAGCAAAATACACTAGTTTACCTTGCCGGTATGAGTCGCAAACCATTCCAGAAGATAAATGTTATTTTTATGCGAAAAACAAAGGTTACGTTTTTTTTTGTTCTAAACAAATTTACACATTTCGTATTTGTGAGTAATTGAACAAATGCGCTACGGTTTTCGAAATACATACGTTACTATGCACATTTTAAAACAAAGCGGATGTCTATCATCTTTTGTTGCGAATTACTCACAAATACGAAATGTTTGAATTTGTTTAAAAGAAAAAACGTAGCACATCCTTTTTGGCATAAAAATAACATTTATCTTCTGGAATGGTTTGCGACTCATACCGGCAAGGTAAACTAGTGTATTTTGCTATAAAATGACCTTTGAACTAACCCTGTATATTGCTCAATAAACTAGTAGTGATGGCCAATCTACTCCAATTTTGTTGTGGTTATTTAGAAGTACGAATCCTACGAATTTGAAGAATCTCAAATATCTGCGAGAAACCATCGTCGCATTACCAACAAGTGCCAAAAGTGCCTCGGTTTTCGGCTATAACTTTTTTAGTCGGATCTCTTTACAAGTGGTCTCATTTTGTAGATCTCATAAATACCTGAAAATCTTATGTGAAGAGTTTTTTCGTTCCTGCCAATACTTTCGATTAAATCCCAAAAAACACGTTTTCGCATTCTTTGTTGTCAATAAAAAGTTTTCCCACAAAAATTGGTGTATCCATTTTATGCGTCCATGTTTTGAATACCCCCTTGAACAACTTGTAGCAATAAAACCATACTTTACAATTATTTCGCAAATCAGGGGTATTTTCATCTAATATGATTAGACTGCAACACCATCCCCGAACAAAATCAGTCAAGCTTTACACACTTTTTAAATTACTATTGAGCAACAAAAAGAACAAAAACCACTTTTTAAGTGCAATCTGTATAGCTAATATATTGCTCAGACTTAGCTTTTTCACAAGTCACAATACTCGAATATACGTATAAATCGTAAGAATTGTGCTGTAATCGTAAGTGATGTCGAAGAGGGACAGAGTTTGGAATACCAAAGGATACCAAAAAATCGCAATGTTCAGTTCCTGTAGCTATAACTTATTGTTAGTATGCCGCTGTCGCCATGATCGGTCAGAAATCAACACAATGGTGTTAGATTACAAAAGCAAGTGTCAGACGTCTAGGGGGGGCATGCCCCCCTCTAAATCCGCCACTGTCTTGCATTGGAGTTTACAATTTCAAAAAACATCATTGCTTTAATGATCTCATAAATTTCGTTTATTTTAGTGTCAAAAATGAGCAGAATAACTGGTATGAGTGTGGTATAGATAATCTAAGTGCCCCTGAGCTGAAGCTAGAAATGAATGATTCTATTCTGAGAAGGTAAATATTTGCTTTTATCTAATTTAATTGATGATTTTTGGTAGAATTGCGAGTTGGAATTAGCAGCTTTATTCAGCATACCTTTTTTGTAAACAAGAATGATGTATCTGATGAAAGACACAGGAAAGATTTGTTGTATAATTGTAGCTTCCAAGTTGGAGACGAGAAAACAGACAGAAAGATTGGCGGAAACGAAAATAGCATTGATCTTTGTGATGTCTCGATTAAAAAAATGTATCGCAATTAAAATACTCCCACGCCAATTGACATGGAAAGAAATATCTATATAGAGATATGTACTTCCCTCACTTATTGGTGTGGGGGGTAAAACAAGTCCTGGATAGGACATTGAAAAACCTAAACTGTTTTAAGAAATGCTATAATTTTGAGTAATGCATTGTCCACATATCCTTGCCCTCCCTTTTTTACCAACTGAAAAGTATGTTATTGCTCGGATTTTGATGAAATCTTGACATAAGGTTACTACTGTGTCAAGAAGCAACAAGCTTTATAGTTTTGAAAATCGGTTCAGTGGCAGCAAATCTACGGGTATTAAAACGAAAAAGATAAAAATCGCTTGAGTGTGGGAGGTTGTAGGGGGTGGGCGACGGTATGTTTCAATTTTCTGGTGTTAATAAATTGATGTACTTCTAACCTCCGTAAATCTACGCATCTATTTCACACATATTCTTCCCGATAATATCTTAACGCAGAATGCAGGAAAAATTTCAATACCTGGCACAGAGGGTCGAATGGCCAATCTAGATGAACGAAACTATACTATAAGAAATTTAAAACTACTGATCGTTTAGCAGAGAAAATAGTTTGTATAAGTGAAATACTTTAAGGTAAATAAACAAAAATTAGAATATGGATTACGGCCACCAATTGGTACTAGTGATTAGTTAGCGCCTGCGACAGCAGTGAAATTGATTATTGTACCAAACCACCTCCTACGTCCAAATTATTTTTCCATGATGGCAGATAAGTATAAAAGTCAGTACCTAGTTATTTCAAATGCGAAATTTAGTTGAATACCGTTGTATGGTGTTAGATGTGTGAGAGGGTAATTTATTAGTTTTCACCCTAGAAGAATAAATACCGTGCAAAGAAATGCGATCGGTTCTGCAGTAATTATCCGGTCGATTTTCAGTAAAATAGGAAGGAGTAACTGAGAGGAACGTAAAGCTTTATTATTAAAAAACTCTGAGTGGTTGAACAGTATCTACATTTTCATGTTGGGATCATACTTTATATATTGCTGATAATTCATGAGGATGTCCTGTAAATCTATAAAGAGTTTTTGAAGCTTACATCACATCCGTATTTACAAATTAAAACAAAATTGTCTATATCTGGCAGATATGAAAAAACATCATCTAGTGTCATAGCAAGTCTCTGAGCTGTTGTAATGTGGTCTGCAAATCCACCCGAACACTACTCTCGGAGACATCGACCTACTCTCGGAGACATCGACTTCATTTTTGGGAATACAGCAATCATTTTTCAATTTCGCCATCCGGTAGTAGGAATGATGTGTTTGGTATCCGTTTGCTAGTGCACTTTGTCGAATCAAATAATAAGCATGTTTGATGAGTTTGCAGTCAATAAAGATCACGTTTCCGAAATGTTTCTTTGTTTTTTTAATTGGGTAGCACAAAACCAGCGTAAGAACTTGCCACTTATTTGATGATATTGCTGCGTTTTTAACGGCTACTTCAGTGGCAAGAAGATCGGATACTTTTTTTTAGATTTGTTTCAAGAATGTCCAAACAGTTTTTCAGGGTCCTCTTGAATTGCTGCCCACAACATGTGGGATACAAACCCACATTTACAAGAAAATATGTGAAGATACTATTCAATCACTAGGGGTTTTGTCAAGAAATAAAGCTTTGTTTGCTTTGCATTAGTCCCACTTACGCTTTATTTTCCAAGCTATCAAAACTAGTTGCTCCTTCAGCTCTTTTTCAGAAACATCTGACATGTTTTCTAGTGAAAATCAATCCGACAATTGCTGCATAATTGAGCCCACTTCTTTATTCCAGTTAAAATAGTTTCCTGAGGGATGTTCGGACCTCAGTAGCTGAAAGGAACAATACACCCACATCAGAAAATAGAAGTCCTTTTCAATATGTGATTTGGCATATTTTATGATTTCAACATTAAAATTACAGCGGTAGTCTGCGGAAGTTTGTAGTAGTGTTATTTATACTAGTAGTCTATCTATCATATTAGGCGAAAATACCCCTGGTTTGCGAAATAATTGTAAAGTCTGGTTTTATTGATGCAAATTGTTCAAGGGGGTATTTAAAATATGGACGCATAAAATGGGTACACCCTTTTTTGTGGGAAGACTTTTATCCGACAACAAAAAATGAGAAAACGTGTTTTTTTGGGTTCAATCGAAAGTGTTGGCAGGATCGGAAAATCGACGAGTACTGGACGTCAAAGACAGACTACAGAGCGACATGATCATTATTTGAGGCAACTAGCACTTAGAGATCGATTTTCCACAATAAGGACAGTAGCGAACCAGTGGTTTGATGCTGTCGAAAGGGCAATAATAATGAGGACAGTTTATCGCCAAACAAGGTCTTTTGGCTGTTTTCATACCATCCCCATCTTGTACTACCTTTGACCCCCAGCATCGTCGGCAACGATTGATATGGAGTAGGGAGAGACTTGAATGGAATATGGAATGGAACTAAGTCGTGTTTAGCAAAGAGTCCAGATTCTGTCTAGACACGCCTGATGGCCGTGCAAAAGTAAGGAGGAGATGTCCATCGAACGGCATATATATATATATATATATATATATATATATAAATTTCCCGAAACAATGCAGCTAAGTAAGTCCATTTTCTTAGAGTTGGCTCGAAATTTAAATAAATATGGTTTATTCAGAAAGTCTGTTACGTCCCGAAAAAAGGAATCTTTAGAGTTGGAGGAAACTCAAAATAGTGTTTTATAAGCAGTTGCTGAGAACTCTGAGATATCAACCAGGCAAATTGAGAAAAATGTAGGAGTAACCAATTCCGCAGACCGGTTTATTTTGCGTGAAAATAGATATCACCTCTATAAATTCAGGATTTGCCAAGGATGTGAACGGCGCCAGCATTTTTGTGAGCGGTACACACGAACATGTAAAGAAGACTGGTCACTAATAATAGTATCTTTAATCGTCGCGACGCTTATTACTGGGCTCTCGAAAATCTGCAGGCTAAGAAAAATCCAGACATCAAGAACGTTTTGGGTTTAATATGTGGCGTCGAATTCGAGGGACCTAAATATTAGGTCAATTTACTTACCACAACTCATTAACTGCAGAACGGTACCGTGAATTGAATGATCTAGAAGACTGTCTGGATAATTTACCTTCGCACAGGTTAATACGAGTAGCTGTTGCCTTCAACAACACGGTGCTCCTCCACATAACTATAGGCAAGTTCGAGAGTATCTTTCTCAGTAATTTTCCAAAAGGTGGATTGGGACCTCCACTGAAGTGTCCTGGCCAGCGCCTCTCGACTTTTTTATTTGGGGTTTTATTAAGAAAATAATGGCAACCTATTTGAACACATATTGTGAATAACATAAAAATAATTATATAAATATATTCGTTATTCTGAATACCACTAGATTAAGCATCATTTTATCAAATTTTACCCCATCATATTATGTAATATGCATCCATCAGTAATCACATAATCTAACATCAAGCGTTTTTTTGCAACGCCTACTTAAATAAAATGAAAGATTTAAAAAACACATTTCGTAGAAAAGGATGCTATCAGATACAGGGTGTACTTTGTTCTGGACCATATAAAAAATAAAATCGATGATGGTCTCTCAAAAAGGAAGCGCCGGAGACAACATTTAAAAACACCTTCATGTAGTGCCTGAATAGTGCAAATGAATAAGTTTCATTAGTTTTTTGATATTTCTTGAAATAAAGTTAGAAACAAATAAAAACGATTTGGTCAAATTTTAGTTTTTCCCAAATACCTCAGTAAGCCATGAAAGTTTCTCAATGGTATGTAAATATCCCCAAAGAACGCAGCTTTTTTCAATTTTGGACGAAAATTGGTCATATTCTTAATACTGTACGTAGGGCTGGTCATGACTCAAATCGGGCTTAAGTTTGCCTTCTGAAGAGAACTTATGGAGGCATGAGACTTTATATAACTTCAAACCCCTAGGTCAAAAAATTCTCTCTGGAGGCGCGAACAAAACTCCAAGTTTTGGAAAAACTGTTAATTTTAGCCTTTTTAGCAACATTTCCATTTGCTCGCTACTCCTAACATTGGAGATCATTAGACCCGCAATATGTGACTAGTCCGAAGTAAAATTATTCAAAGAATTCAAAAATGGGCTTCAAATTGAGGTCTGATATTTGTTCGGAAGTCAAAACTAATTCTTTCCGAATTTTTTCAATGTTTTCTTGGGCTGACAATGCCTGCCGAAATAAAAATTTTTGTTGACGGACATCTAAATTGGTTGAATGGGCCTTTAGAGCCAATTTTTAGAGGAGGTATATGGATGTTATAGAGGATTGAGCTAGTCGATGTTAGCTATGTTGCTGATGCATCAACACATTTTTTAATGTTAATTGGCTACCGCAGCTTTTGAGAGACATTTGCAAAAAACCAACAGTTCAGTATACAAAATGCCAAAAATGAAAGAAATTTAAAAAATGATTAGAGCTAGAATGTTGGTGAAATGATAAAAAATTTGCTTAATATATGTAAATATAATTTCTAAAATATTCAAAATTATATTTTTTTCCAATTTGCTTAAAATCTGAAGAATTTAGCTAAATTTTGTAAGCTGCGTGTGGAAGATATTAATATTTTACAGCTTTTTCCTAATTTAACTGAAATTTTGGCTCGAAAGATTTTTAAATTAGCCTTGGTATTCTGAACTGTTAGTCTTTCTCGAATATTTCTTAAAAGCTGCGTTAGCCAATGCACGTTAAGAAATGTGCTGATGTATTTATATGATGGTTAACCTATATTATTAGATCAATCTCCCATAACATCCATATACCTCCTCTTGCCTGATGAAAATGGTAAATTTTTGGCCAATATATCGAAAACTGGTTCTAAATGCCTAGTCGACCAATTTAGGGGCTCAAGAACAAAATTCTCATTCGCATATAAAACGATAGATCGATGCTCTTCCTTTACAAAAAAAAACTAATTTTGTGGATTTTTCTAAACCAGTGAACATTTTCAAAAAAATTACCTAACTGAACTATCTGCCGAAATAATTATCGCAATTTCGGAATAATCATATTGTAACGGAAACGGTATACAGGTTTCCCAAATTTTTTTTTGTTGAGGCTCCCCGGACTATAAATTATATTTTCATGCCCCCATTTACTTTTTCAATAAATACAAAAAACGCACATTATATAGGTACAAAGACTTATTTTAATTCTAATAAAGAAACTTTAAAAGTTTAAATAAACTAATCAATGTTTTTTTATCGAAAAACTTCAATAAAATAAGAGTAGGTACTAATGAGATACTTGAGATTGCATGTTGTGTACCAGTTGGTCGATTCTAGGTTCTTGTTTGCCAGAGCTATCAACATCAAGACGATTTCGCTGGTTAGTTTTAATTAAAACTAGATCAGAAATGCCTGTCTCACATAAGTAAGTTGAAGAAAAAGGAAGTAGTATTCGTAAAGAAAGAGAGACAAGTGTCGAATTAACAGGAAATCTTTTGATCCAAAATTTCTCTAATGTTACAAGATGGAAGTCATCTTTCATGGACGAATCAGCCTTCATTTCTAGAAATTCTTCCTGAACTTCTTCTGATAATTGTGACACATCGACAACAAATGGATTTCTTGTCATGTGCCATATTGGTGACTCTGAATTGATGTCTCGATAGTATCGGCGAAATGCGTCTTCCAGCGCTTGCAAATGAGTTTTTATGTCAGCTTTTAAATTTGCGTCCAGTATGTTATTTTTAATTGCATCGAACAGCCGATAAAAAGACATTTTCAGAAGACACTTTTTGATTCCAAAGTTGAAGTTTTGATATGAACCCCTGAATATAATCATAATTGCATATTATAGTATTGTTTCTGCCCTGAAGTTTGATAATTGCACATTATAGTATTGTTTCTGCCCTGAAGTTTCATTCAAGGAATCAAATATGTCAGTTAAATAAGCCAACCTCCATTGAAATATGTCATATTTGAACATTGTCAAGAAATCGTGTTTTTCTTTGAACTCAAGAAAAAGAATTCCCTCTTCTTTCAATGCATAAAGGCGAGCCAACATGTTGCCTTTGGACAGCCAGCGTACTTCTGTATGGAACAGAAGAACTTTGTGATCATAATCGAGATCCTCGCAAAGTAAAGTAGATAACCGACTGTTTAAAGCGCGGCTCTTGGTGTAGTTTACAATCCTTATAGCCGAGTCCAAAGTCTGGCGTAAGTTCTGTGGCAATGTTTTGGAAGCCAAAGCTTGCCGATGAATAACACAATGCGTACTAACCATTGCGGGATTTTTTTCCTTGAGCTTTTTAGCTAAGCCCGATCGTACACCTATTATTGCAGGTGCGCCGTCTGTGTAAAGTCCAATGAGTTTCTTCCAATACAAATCATGTTTTTCAACAAAATTTGATATTGAATTAAATATATGTTCAGATGTAGTACCTGCTGTCAAAGATTGGGAGTACAAAATCTTTTCTTGAATAATATCTCAGCCGATGTAACGAACATAAACTATTAACTGTGCACAATTAACGATGTCGGTGGATTCATCGCAACTAATGTCAAAAAATGCCCATAATTTTTTTTGTTAATTATTTGTGACTTTATGTCTGCTGCAATGTCATCGATTCTACACTTGACTGTGTTATTCGAAAGAGAAATAGACTTCATTTTTTGTTTTGCATCTTATCCATGGTTTTATTAATTCTTCACCTATATGAGGTTTATTTTACTTTGCTATCATAAAAGTTATTTCAAATGTCTCATCCGCTTGAGTGATTCTGCTTTAGAAGAAAAAACTCTTTCGTCTTTCAAACCAGAGTAGGATGTTGTTGCTGACGCATCGTATTTAGAATAGGAAAAGCAACATTTGAACATCCGGCGATGGTAGCTGATATTGAGGACGAGGTAAACACCGGTATGGACAGCATGGAAACAAAGCGCTTCGAGTTGAACTTTAAGCAAGGAACCTTGAGATTCAACAATGAGGTCATTTTACACCGGGAAAGGAATGGAAATGACCGAGTTCTATTGCCTGAAGACACCGTGGTCCCAGAACGAAGCGAAGTTGTATTGAATGGCTCTGTAGATGGGCCAGACTACAGAGGGAGAAATAGTCATGTTTGAGCCTAGGTTGCATGACTAGGCTAGCAGTTGTAAAGGCCCTTGTGCGTGCCTATAGAACTACCCCTGTGACACTAATGAATGCCAGTCACATAACCCTGTGTCATTGAAAAATGGCTCCGAGCTGGGACACTGCTGTCCAGTTTCTGCAATCATTCGAAACATGCCAGCTAGGGAAAACTCAGGGGCCATTCTCAAGGAACTGGAAGAACTGATATCGTTATAAGGCAGAGATCTAAGACCAAACCAAAGAAAAAAACTGAAACACCAAATACATAGATATCGCGATGTATTCGATACTGGACAGGAAGGAAAAACCAATATAGTCCAGCACAAGATCAATACGGAAAATGCCCGCCCATCCGGCAGATGGCAAGATGCTTCATACTTGCTAAATGAAAGGAGGCTGACAAGATCGTGGACAGTATGGCAAAAGAAAGAATAATTGAACCGTCCAACAGTCCATGGACCTCACCGGTAGTTTTGGTTAAAAAGAAAGATGGTTCAACCAGATTTTGTGTGGACTACCGGCTGCTGAACAACGTGACCCAAAAGGACAGCTACACTCTGGATACCCTGGCTGGATCAAAAATGTTTTCCACCCTAGATCTAAAAAGCGGATACTGGCAAGTAGAATTGGCCACTGAAGATCGGGATAAAACAGCATTCACGGTGGTCACCGGATTATGGCAGATTGATGTGATGCCATTCGGCCTGTGCAATGCTCCTGCCATGCTGATAGACACGATTCAAAGAGAACTATCCTAGAAAACGTGCCTGGTTTACCCTGATGACATTATTGTGGTGGGAAAATCATTTGGGGACCACATGAAAAACCTAGAGGAAGCTCTCTTGGGGCTACGAGGTTCTGGTTTGAATTTAATCCCAAAGAAATGCCACCTGTTTCAAAGAGCAGTGCAGTATCTTGGCCATGTTGTTTCCAGTCAAGGAGTCGCTGCCCACCAGGAGAAAATCCATCGGCCATTTCCGAAGGATAAACGTGAGCTACGCAGCTTCCTGGATTGTGTACATATTACTGACGCTACGTGGAAGGCTGACAGAAAGAGAACGCAAATTCTAATGGGATCAGGATTGCCAACAAGCTTTTAGCCACTTGAAAGAAGCTTCATCTAGCGCCCCTATACTCAGCTCTCCCCTGCCGGAAGGAAAGTTTGTGTTAACACTGACGCTAGCAACGTGGGCATAGGTGCTGTACGATCCCAAGTCCAGGAAGGCAAAGAAGGAAAGGTCATCGGTTATTTTAGCAAAACGCAGTCCAAACAAGAGCGTAACTATTGCGTTACCAGGAGGGATTTGCTGGCCGTCGTAAAGGCAATGAGACATTTCTACAATACCGCTATGGCAGAAAATTCTTACTCCGAACCGATTTCGCAGCTTTAAAATGGCTCTTCCATTTTAAAATCAAAAGTGTCAAGTTGCAAGATGGGCAGAGGAGAAAGACACCGAAGTATTAAGAACCACTATCGTTAGTGATACTTGCCAAAACGAAGCATTAAAGACCAAGAGGACGACCCCGATCTCCAAATAATTCCGAACTGGATGTAAGAACAGTGGAAACCAGCCCTGGAAGAAGTTGCCCAGTATTCTCGTACCATAAAATCATATTGCGCACAATGGAATTCTCTAGTTATGATCGATGGGCATCTACAGCGTAAAATGGTGGACCACGACGGCCAAGAGGAAAGAAGGTAAAGAAAGAAGCAAGAAATTAACCGAAACCACGCTTTCTCATAGAGCAGAACTTTTTCCCATAGGGGTGTTGCAGTGTCCTTTCTAGATCGCAACGTTGTCAGAAGGGTGGGGACTAGGTGCTGATTGTACGGACCTGTTTGGTTTTGCCTGATCCATTTAATTCCTTTGTTATATATATATATATATATTGTTGACTTTTTTCTGGAGAGACTAAACAGTGCTTAACATGATTTTTTCTGTACTGGCGACAGCGCAGTCAACCTATATCACGCCATTTTTTCATATGTTCCTAAAACATTTTTTACAGAAATATATTTTTTTGTAGGGTGGGAGGCGAATCTGAAGACGATATGTTAACACATCCAGAGAATCCTTCAAAGTATAGGTTCACCATTACTTGCATTCATTGTAATACAATATTTGAAAGTAAAGTCACAGTGGATGATCATGTAGCAAAATGTCACCCAGAATTTACAACATCAAATAGCAATAACATATATGAGTGTACAACTTGCGTTTATATAACCACTGAAAAGGAAAACTTTGACAGGCATATGAAATTGCATCTGGAGACTGTGTCAAACGAAAAGTTTAAAAGATGTATTCACTGTGATACAACATTCAAAGGTACGTCATCAATGAATGAGCATATAGTTAGAAAACATCCAGAGTTTATTGCGTCAGTCACTGTCAAAGTACATGAATGTACAGTATGTACTTATAAAACTACCAAAAAACCTAATTTTTATAGGCATATGTCAGTACATCCTGAGATAGATATAAGCTACACATTGCAAAAATGCAATCACTGTGACGCTAAATTCAAAAATAAATCTTTAGTAGACGAACATATAATTAAGGCACATCCAGAATTTATAATGTTTAGCAAATTCTATGAATGCACGAGCTGCGCTTATAAAACTACTATAAACAGTTGTTTCAAAAGACATATTTTAACGCACTTAACCTATAAATGCACAGAGTGTACTTATAAAACTAATGTAAAAACTGCTTTAGATAGCCACATGCTACAACATCCAGAAATTTCAAATCAAAAAGACGTCAAATGCGTTCACTGTGACGCAGCTTTCAAAAGGAAGTTATCATTGGATGATCATGTAGTTAGACTACATCCAGAATTTATCGAATCAGTTACTAGTAAACTGCATACATGTACACAATGTTCTTATAAAACTGTCCTAAAACATGTATTTGAGAAACATGTGCTGGAACATGGTGGGAGTGATACAAGTTCTCAACCCAATACCTGCCGTCATTGTAAAGTGAAATTCAAAAATGGCATATCTTTAGATGATCATATTGTCAAAAAACATGAAGAATTTATATCAGCGGTTAATAGAAAAATACATAAATGCGAGCAGTGTGCTTATAAAACGGTATTAAAAACCTCATATAATGAGCACATACTCAAAAGTCATCCGGAAAACCTCGGATCACTTTCTATGAAGGTATACGAATGTTTGCGATGTTCTTATAAAACTTTTAAAAGAAACGCTTTTGATTATCATTGTATATCGAGCCATCCTCAAACTGATTCAAGTAGTAAGAGCCACGCATGCATTCATTGTAATAAAACTTTCAGAAGCAAGAGAGCGTTAGAAAATCATGTGGTGAAAAAACACCCAGATTTTATCTCGTCTGTAACTGAGAAAATATATCAATGTACAAAATGCGTGTATAAAACTGTGTCGAAATACAACTTGGAGAGACATATGTTAACGCATCCTGAGACTATTTCCAGTTCCAAACTCGTGCCTTGCATTCACTGTCGAGCGATACTTGCAAGCGACGACTCGCTCAATGATCACATAGCTAAAAAGCATCCTCTTGTTACATCACCAAACGCTAAATCGTATGAATGTTCAAAATGTGATTATAAAACTAACAGAAAGTGCTATTTCGATAAACATGTATTAATACATTCCGAGACTCTGACTACGCCAAAGTTGTTGAATTGTTCCTATTGTGATGCTTCCTTCAAGCTTAAGAGATCATTGTATGATCACATTGTTAGAATACATCCTGAGTATAGCGACTCGGTATGGGTTAAGATACATGAATGTCCGCAGTGCTCTTATAAATCAGTTAAAAAGGATTATATTGAGAGACACATGAGAGGACATTCTGAAATTGTTTAAAGCGCAATTATCTATATTAAAATAGGGTTTCTAGACAAAATCGCAGGTTTTGACATGCTTGCGGGCCCGTCTTAAGCTATTCAGGGATTCCTGAGTCCAAAGCAAGTTAGGGGCATGCGGCTAAAGTGGCTCCAGAGCAGAGCGAAATCAGGTGCCTTATGTTTCCGTTGGAGTGTTGGAGAAAGTTGAAGAGTGGAGGGGAGGTGCTGCCCAGATTGGTTCGACATTTGTGGCCGTCATCAAGCCGGGGCCGTGAGCCTGAGCCTCGTGAGGCCATAGGGTTTGCATGCGAGGCTCCAAGCCCAGTCCGAACGGAGTTGTTTAAGGCGAAAATCGCAGATAATTTGCTATAGAGAAAATGTTTAAGACAGAGCCACATTCCAGGACTTCTGAATTAAGAGTTGTATGCACACCGAGTGTATGACGTTCCCAAACTGCTCTAGCAAATGTGCACAGGGAACGCAACGCTAAAAACCTATCCTGTTTTTTGATGTTTTGCTTTGACGTTGACAGTGTTGTGATCCCACTGCCAAACTAACAATGAACATGTGAAACACATTTTGCCTTTAGTTTCAGAAGCATGGTCAGACTATCCAATTGGTGACTAATGATTTTAAATTGATGGCACAACACGTCAGAGGTCTGCATTTTTATTGTATTGTTTTGAGTAAATGTATCGAATTCATATTTTAGTGTAGACTTTCAAAATTAGTGTCTAGTGTCTAGTTGTAGATGAAGCCAAATTAACTTTGCTTCTTGCGCTCTCTTGTGATCTTTATTATTCTGGAACATCTCAAATGTATGTTGTGACTCTGGTCTTACGTTATCAGTTTTTTACCATCCTTCATTGTCTGGTATTAGTTTAACCTCCATAAACTCGAGCGGGGTACAGTTTGTACCCCGGACATCAATTTTTGGGGGTATTTTCTAAAATATTTATTTTTAACTCAATTTCCTTCGAGGAATGTTTCTTAAATATTTCTCTAATCGAGTATAGAAACGCTTAAAGAAATTGCTATTTATTGTAACAGGTTATAGTGAGTGTTGTAGCTTGGGGTTCAGCTGCACCCCGCTCGGTATGTAACATTTTACACTATAACAAACCAAAGGGTGCAGTGTACACAACAGATAAATTGGCAAAGGAAATCACGACTCAAAGACAGAGTAATCGGTGGGATGGCAATATTTTTCCATCTACTGGACATTGGTGGCATCATCGCCTATAAGCTATGGGCGTTGAAAAATCCAGATTGGAAAAATCGTTTGGATGTTTTTGTTGAAGTTGGGCCAAGAATTAATAAAGAAAACCATAATTCGTAGGTACCATAATGACAAGCTTTTACATTCCAGTATAAAACAATCCATGTTAACCATTTTGTCAGAATTATGCTTAGCCAATTCTGCTTCAACTTCTTCATTAAATACACTAAACCTGCCCATTTTTTTAATTGCATTATTTGCACGTTTGTTTTTCTCTTCGAGATGTCTTTTTAGTGTAGCTTTAGGTACTTTAAACAACCTTGCACATTCATTCAGCCCATAAGAACCATTACGAAAAGCGGAAATAGCACTGCTCAAATCTTCTGTGCTCCACTTGCCGTATTTACCACGTGATGACATTCTGAAAAAAAAATCTATCAAGAACTAAATGGGACTGGTTTAATTCACAATATACGGTTGCCTAAATTGGACCGGTCCAATTTACAAGTCAATTGCTGGTCCAATTTAGGAAACCTTGTTCTAAAACTAAACAATATCAAATTTCACCCACAACGGGTTTTACCAATTTGGAGGTTAGGTCACGAAAATAATCCCTAAACTATGGCCTCTTTAATGAATCTTGAGAAATAAAGATATTATAAATGTTGTGATTAAGGGAGAGTCTGGAACAGCGGCCACACTTTGAAAGAATTTTCGCTCTCTAGGAGATTTAATTGTTTTCGTCAAATTTATAGTTCTTACATGAACGATACACTATTTGGCTTTATTTCTATATACTTAAAAAATAACACAAACACCTATTAGTATTTTATTTTTAATTATAAAAAAAGTGCTGGTAAAGTGGCCAGTGTATCTTCATTGCAGGTACAGTGGTCACCCACCTATGGTACTGTGGCCACTCCTCTGTAAACAATTAGATTTAAGTAAACCAAATCTGAAAAGAGTGGATTTATTTATTCCAAAAATTATGTTATATAAAACTTCTAAAAGCTACAACAGAAAAATGTATCAAAACCTCGACTTAACTTAAAATACGTTATACATTGACAGGTTAATCGAAAATGAGAATACATTTGCACTTCTTGCCGTACATCCGATTGCACTGGGATACGGTAAATGGAGTATAATATCATCCATTGAAACTACACCAGTGTCTGGAATATTCGGATAAACAAAATTATTGCCACGTCGACGTAGAAATGTTATATTACATTCGTCAGTGCTCTCCATCACTTCTATGACGGAGCCAACATAGTAACGGATTGTCTTTTTTGACTCAAATCTAACCAGAACAAACTAACCCACACCGATGTCCCCAATATCGTTAAGGGTGACTTCTTTATCTGACTCTTGTACAAAGCTCACATCATCTGAGTCAGTTAAGCTCAAATCTAGGTCGCTTTCGCTAGATGTGTCATCTTTTTTATGCAACTTCCTTTGTTTTGCTGCTGGTACAACAATCTCTTCACTTACAATTTTTTTCTTTACAAGCGGCTGCCTCTCAAGGTTGGACATTCGACTTTGTTTTAATTGTTGTTCTTCTTCTAGTTTTTGCAGAATAGGGGTGCTTGTTAAAATTTCGGTTGTTTTCTTTTTTTTCGAATGTTTTTTAAGCGGAGCTGCGGGGAGAGCTGTGGGAAGTGGCTTCACATTATATGGACTAACAAATTTCTTTTCCGGAGTCCTGTTTTCCTTGATTTGGGATGTTGATGGTCTATTGTTGTCTTCTAGAACAGCCATTGGAGGGACTTCAGCGTGTTGCTCTACATGTAAATCTGTTACAGATGCTGCCATGAAATCTTGCTCATTAAATATGTTATTATTAAATGGATATATTCCGGTTGCCCTAAATCCTGATATGCAATTTTTAGGTGTAAAAGCTAATGGGTAAGATTCACCTAGGATTTCGGCAACTTCGTAAATAGTTATTCTTTTGCCAGGGTTGTTCAGTAACCAATTTTGACAGTTCCGATTATAATAATTTTTCAATGCGAAATAAATACTTTTGTCTAGCGGCTGCAGTTTGTGGCTGCAGTGTGGTGGTAAGGTCAAAAGTATAACATTATTTTGTTTCGCCATCTTTATAGTATCCAAACATATATGGGTCTCATGGTTATCCATAATTAATAAGACGGGTGAATCAGCGGTTGGTTTCACATGTTTGATGAAATGCTGCAACCACTGGACAAATATGTGTGATGTCATCCAACCGGTTGGAGAAGCCGTTCCCACACTTCCCGGCGGCGCGTTCTTTAACATGTAATCCTTATAATTTTTTCTGGGGAAGATTAACAAAGGTGGTACAGAATTTCGCATTGCATTAATGCAACCACACATGGTTACCAGTGTCCCCCTTTCACTAGATACGGTGTGTCCCACTTGTTTTTGGCCTTTTTTGGCAATAACCTTTTGTGTTTCTTGGACAGTGGTAAGTGCTGTCTCATCGACGTAAAAAAATTGGTTGGGCCCAAATTCATGGTTTTTAAGGACTTCCTGAAGATTTTTAAAAAATCGTTCTACAACTGGTTTATTAAAGCCCATGGCTCTACCTAATGACGTAGCCTCAGCTAATCTTAGTGACAATTCTTTGCGACGTTTCATAAATGCATTGAACCATAATCTTCCTGCCATACCATTGTCTTCCCAAGATTTCGGAAATTTCTTCTTATTAGCAACTGCTAATTCATATGCCAACCTTCGTGCCGCTTTTGGAGGTAAGCCATGATGTAGTTGAGCCATTGTTTGAAGATATTCGCTTAATTCGCCTTCTTCGTCTGGAGAAAATACTTGATTAACCCAGTAATTTGGCGTTAATCTTGGAGCTCCTTCCAATACTGGTGAATTCCAATCAATTTCCTCTTGGTGCTCGTCACACTTCTTAATATAGCGCCTCAGTGTAGTTCGAGGTATGTTGTATTTTAGTGCTGACGCTTTGACAGATAGTCCACTAATCTTGATATCTTTAAGGGCATCTACCATAGTGCTCCTCGGTATCTTGCCTATTTCAACGTTAGTTTTCTTACGACGAGGCATTTTGATCTGAAAAAATATGGTTGCAATCAGCGGAAAGGTATTTAGAAAGGTAGGTACAGTGGCCACTGTTATTTATAGAATAAAGCTGTGACCACTGTACCTGCATTGCCTTGTGGCCACTGTTCTAACAACCACATATTTTAAATATATAAATATTTTGAGATAATTTTCAAATGCTTTTAAAAACTTATTGGCAAAATAATTACTTACATGGACTGAGTATTCATTCACCACCAGCAATTATTCAAGAAACAAGTTGTTTGGACAAAAATAAAAATCTCGTGCATGCGTTGAAATTCACTTTTGCTATGAATTTTCAGGTTAGGTTCACTATACCGTTAAACACCAAAGGTGAAGTTTCCTGCTTTGTGCCCAGTTCTAGTACTTAATTTGCTAGTTTGTTCCTAGATGGCAGATATATAACTTGAAATATAACAAAGTTAGGGAAAGGTGGCCACTGTACCTATATGGCCACTGTTCCAGACTCTCCCCTACTTACTTGAACGGTAAGTAGTAGTATCTTTGTATCGAAAGTTAAATAATGTTGAAAACACTTATATTTTCTTAACCGTTGTTTACAGCTGCACACGTGTTGAAACTCTAGCAGTTTTCGGGATGTAGTTCTAGTTGGTATTAACGGATGGCACCACTTGTTGTCGGTTCGCTCAAATCTGCAAAGGTCCAATTAAGGAGCCGGTCCAATATAGGCAACCTTACCCTACATTCAAATTCCACCTCCATGATCATAGTTGAGCGATTTTGGTCAGAACTCATCTAGGGCTCGTAAGGGAGCGTCGTCCTGCTTCGAAATGGCTTTCACCTGCGTACACGAAGGCAGTGATAATTTGTATTGGGTAACGTTATTTGTTACATTTTGCGACAGCACTGCTCAGGATTTGTTGATTTTATCACCATTGAAGGAAATCAAAGATAATTCTAAAATGAATCAAAATACTAAGTCGCATCAAAAATATTAAATTAACTGTTCGAGCAAACTTCCTTGGGTTTATCAGTAACCTAACCTATAGCAGAAGCCTGTGCGAACATTTCCTGGTGTAACATATTGGCAACGCGGCAGATTGCACGACCTTCTGCGTCACCGTTGCTAGACAATATGGTGATGACGTTCGCCCTTCAGTCGGCTTCTATCTCTTTCTAACATGTCTTGATACACGCTTCGTGTGCTTCTCTCTCGCACACACTGAACCCAAGCCGTCAGACAATTTTTGTTTTCCCTGTATCTAAGGAGAACCGAACCGATGAAATGAGAAAGAACGACCTTAAAATTTGTGACAGTGATCGAAGCGACTACCAGCTCCTGCGCAAGCGTGGGGTTATAGTACAAGATCTGGCATCTTGAATCTGCAGGTATTTTCTTATCAAACTTTTATGAATGCCTCTGCCAAGCAACGCTGCCCTAATATTATTTATCATTCGTAAAAATCAAGTTATAAAAAACAAGATACCTGCAGATTCAAGCGGCTGGATGTTACATTATTAGGAAAGCACAGCGTTGCCAGATGAGTCGGACAGAATTTCCCCAGAACAAGCACAAAAATTCCTCAAAATTGACACTTTGTCAGAAAAAAAATCCCCAAATCACAGTTAATGGAAAGGGATAATTTTGGTTCACGGGAGAATGCTTTCAATCCGCAAAACGTGTGATATCCCCCAGTACATTGTTCCTCGAGTAAAGATCCCCAACATGATAACCCTGTCGAACCATCACTGGTAAGATGCTTACTCTCCTTGGATGGACCATCTGCTGTCTGTTGCATTGGCAGCATCCATTAATTTAGTTTACTAGTTTGACACCATGTAACTATATATTTTAAAGTATTTGTAAGATGAGTTGAAAACACCTGATCGTGATGTAAAATCGAATATTTAGTTTTAGTAGTGAGAAAAATCTATACATACTCCATTTGAGACGGCCATTATTGGTCTCGCACTTCTGATACGCAATCTGCTATTACTGCATTTATGAGCTATACTTACTATATGTTTATTTATTTGTATATTTTAAGAATTTGTACGCATTTATTGATAATAAATTGTATATAACCCACACAATTGTTCATTTTTTGTCGATGGTTATCCATAGACAGTAAACCTTTACATAGCCAATTATACTATAGTTTGGTAAAAACTGAAATTCCACAACCTGGCTTGGGGGGTCATATCTCAGATCGGGCTTAATTTTTTCCTGGAGAACACCTTTGGAGGCATGAGGCTTTGTAAAATGATCGAATGGTTCGGCAGAGTAGGCCTATGCATATTCTTATGGAGTTTCGCGATGTTTGCTGGCAAGAGAGCCGTACCACAATTTCTCTGCGGTGTTGACACATCCAGATTCGATATCGCAGTATCGAAATCACTACTAATTAGTTGTACCTCTCTGTGAGCGAATTTGCAAGATATACTCGGGGCCTGCGCAGCTTCAATGATGATGTGATTATTTTTTCTGATCTGCCTCGGTATGTCAAGAAATCATTTTCGATATTACGTTCAATCTGTCACCTGTGAAGTCTAATATCCAACAGATAGCTATCAGCCAATTAACCTCAAGTTCTGAGCTGCTATTATGTATTTTTCTTTGCTTTGTAAACTGTAAATTATTGTTTTAAACTTATATTTGTGTCTCGCGATTGTTTCTCTAAGTTTTCAAAATGCCTTACAAGTGCTAATTGTTCGGTAATTACGGGTAAGGTCCGAAGGTAAACGTATCTTCGTTTCCATTGAATCCCTCGTAGTGATTTAGTGATTACATAAAACCCCAGAGTATGCAATTTTCAGTTTGCTGAGGACAGCATCATTTGGGAATCCACTTTCCATGACAAAAAGACAGGTAGGAACATTACTGTACCCCTTAAATATCGAAAATTAAAGGCACATGTAATTTCAAGTATCTTTGCAAATTGCCCAAAATACCTTTCAAAGGACATATCAAGCAGAAGAGGTCGAGATGAATAATTGAGGGACAAGGAACAAGAACAACTACTTACTGCAAAGTAATATTGATGTTTATTCCTCCTACCAAAAATAAACAAGTTTTCAAAATTATTTAGATTTTCTCACAGTTTTCAGTTCATGGCAATATTCATATTATGGGTGACATAAAGTTGTTCAGGATAAAGTTACTCTGTTTAAGTTAGAATATAAACCAACACCCATCATAACTCACTCTGTGATTTTTGATAAATGTCTCAATGTAAAAAAGTATATGTACTCCCAAGAATTGTCACTCAACTCTGGTAATATTAAAACTCCATTTTTATTATCTAATATATACCAGTTGGATGATGTCCTGAATGCTCTGGCTCAAAATGTAGATGCTTCGAGGGAATATTCAGGTGAATACTAGTTCAGAACCACTATCAACCACACTGTCATTCAATTTATTTGTGAGCAACTGTTATTAGCCAGAAGAACAGACACATATACTCCTCAGAAACAATAGTGTTTTGTTATATGTTGTATATAATCAGTCCACATTCATATGGATTTATTTGGAGCCATGGAGCACTCATTTTACCACACCAAAGTACTCTGAAGTCAATTTGTAATACATTGATGGTCGATCCAGTTTCAGATGAGAGACATAACTTTTTAGGCTATGCAAAGAACCTTTCCAGATTTGTAAAACCTGGTGAGGAGAACATGACTTTATTGATGAATGAAATACACATTCAGCCATATTTAGATTTCAAAGGGGGTAATATTGTTGGAACGTCAATTAATAATGCTTCATTAGCTACAACAGCACGTGTTTATGATTTCATGCTTATATTCTAATTTCAAAGTTGTTCACATCTGTCCTGTTTCTCAAATTGATCATAATCTATTATACAATATTACAAAAAAAAATTAATATTGGATTAGAGGAACTAGGTTACAAATTTTTTGCTGTTGTAAGTGATAATAATGCACTGAATAGTCAAGCGATCGCACATGTTTCTCCAGATAATGAAGCAACCATTGTTTATGCGCATCCGTTGGATAACAAACGTCGTCTTTTCTTCCTTTTTGATACAGTGCACCTTCGAAAACGTATCCGCGATAATTGACTGAATTCAAAATCAGACCAAATTTTAACATGCCCAGATTTTGAAACACATGAGGTAAGTGTTGATTCATTTAAATCTCTTAAAACATTGTACCAAATGGAAAGTCATAAAATATTGAAACATGGTTATGGTTTGACCCCAAAAGCTTTATATCCTACCAACCTTGAACGACAAAATGTCCATTTAACTCTCAAGATAGTCAATCCATTTGTAATAGATGCAGTATCAAGGTTTGGTAAAAACATACGGCACTCCGAAGAGACAGCAAAATTTATTGATATTGCAGCGTTTTTTTGGGTATGGATTAAAACACCCAATTCCACGAAAAGAAATCCACTAATTTATTTAAAACACAACACAACTAACTTTAACTTAACTAGTTAGAACATTTATGTACACCACGATTTATGTCTGCTACTTATTTACGAATTGTTATGTGGCGCCATTCACTTAAACTTCCTTTGTCTCTCCCAGCCGTCGGCTTATATATTCCGCATCTCAGCTACTCGTTAATTCGAGAAAGTTCCTGTATGCCATATAGCGGCCACTCTAGAACCTTCGGGTTCAGTCTCGCACCTGGCTTCGATGTCGAAGGAGAGTCCTTGGCGAGGTTCCCAACAGATGGCGCTAGTAGTACCATTCATTCTTGTTACAATATTATATGGGAGTGGTGGAGAATTGTCAGTGTTAAAACTCCATTGAAAGGTAAGCGGTTAAATGACCTTTATGCAGAGCCTATTGTTTGCTCCAACAGTGATGCAAAAGGTGTTGACAGTAAGCTGACATTCTTTCAAAAAATGGATAGAAGAATAGAATGATCCAGTAAAGTTTTCAAAAAGACTAACTAGTCAGACTTACACTGCACATCATACACTGTATGACATACAGTATATGGATTGGTCAAAACAGAATGTCTGTCCGACTAAGAGCCGTTTTACACACAAGAGAATTACTCCGAAAATTATAGTCATAATTATGCCGAAAATTTATGCTGACGTATTACACGTAAAAGAATTCTTGTGAAAATTTTCATGGTAAAAATATAAAACCCGTTCTATAGAATATGCTCGAGAATCGGCGCAGAGGGTTATTTCCGTGCATGTCAATATCAAATGTCAACGTCAACAACATAACCTCACTTAACATTTTTGTGTGTGGTCAGTGTATATGTTTTGTGTGTGGTCCTGTTCGAGTCGTACGAAGAAGCGTTTATTGTTTATTCATAATCGGGAAGAAGTTACACTGTTGTTGGAGGAGTACCAAAAATGGCCAAACCTGTATAAGGTGAAGTTAGCCAATTACAAAAATAGAAATTTGCGGCGTCAGGCGCTGGATGCGATAGTCCAAGCATTGAGAAGTTTGAAACCCAACTGACAGCACAAGATATATAAGCAAAGTTTCAAGCTTTGAAACAAAATGCCAGCAAGGAGAGGCGAAAATGTTTGGAATCGCAAAGAAGTGGCGCTGGTTCAGATGATGTAAGTTTTTTCTATATGTTTGCATATTTCATTACTTCCACTATCTATATTATGTATCTGATTGAGTGTTAAAAGTAATATTTTTCACAGATCGCGGAGCCATCACTGGTATCATAATTTGATTGGCTATGTGTTTGATAATGGCGAAGAAAGAGGAGCATTCGATTCTTTGGAGAGCAAACATGTTCAAGAACAAGATATAACATTGGTAAGTGCCGATGTTGTGTTGCATATTTCACTATGGCCAAAGCCCAAATTTCACTTAAATCTGAATTCAACAGTGATTTTGTCTAAACCTAGTACACTTGAGCTTTGATGAACAGTCATCAATACTTTTGCATTTATGATAACAAAATGGACCTATGACCATGTGCTCCATATTATTTATGTAACAAATAACATGCCAAGCACAAGCTGGTGTTACATTGTCATTACCTTCATTCTTTTTACTGTTTCATGATTTTTCATATCGAAATCTAATCAAGCATTAATTTAATGTAAATATATATTTATACCTCTTTTGCCAAGACTAGAAAACTTTATTCTATATTGCTATCTGTCCATTTCAGATTTAACAAGCAGATGATGCGGATGCCTTCGCAGAGGAGGTGCTCTCGGCGGCAGTATCACCGTTAGGGGTTTTGGAGCATATCAGCACGCCAAGCCAGTCTAGAAGCTCTTCAACGGTGAGCATGACAAGTGCTCCCCAAAATAGGAAAGAATAGGATACAGATCTTATGGGGGAGGTCAAAAGTACCTTGCAACATATTTCCCAAAGACTGTGACAAACCTGGGAGAAATCCTCTAACCAGATCTTTGGGGAATATGTTGCCTCAAAGCTTGACTGAATAACGGACAGTGAGATAAGAGATGAGGTTGAAGCTGAAATTGTAAACCTATTAAATGATGTTTATTAATTAAAGAGTATTAAATGGATACTTCATTATTTTATTTCTGTATACAATATGGTACAATAATAGAAATAATTATTTGACTCGATATTTCATGAAATGTTCCTTTGTACAGCTGTGTCTTGCCATGGCACAGATCCAGATGTTGAATTGAAATAATCCCTAAATTCTTCTCTGATTGATCTCGCAGAATTTCCTGATCGATTCCCAATCTGCTGTGAAATTTGAGGTAACAGATCGGATGGATCAATGTCATACGTGCCTTCAGTGTACGTAGCACTCTCTTTAACTAAAAAGTTATCTAAAAGTACACAGGTTAATGTTATTAGTTCAACTTTATTTGGTCCCACGTGTATTTTTTGTATCTAATAGAACTCTCCATCTGTTTGCTACTATTCTAAAGCCACACTCCACCAGTCGTCTAGTTCTTGACAGACGGTAATTGTAAATTCTATTATCATATGTCAATGAACGTTGTGGGAAGGGTTTCATTAAATGGTTAGATAATGGGAATGCATCATCAGCTATAAAAACATAAGGCACTTTATTTGTCCTACCAGGAAGAGCCCTGTCTGGTGGCAGATTAAGTGTATTGTTTTGCATTCTTTT